GGGATGCAGCACGGAACAGACCCTCAGTCTCTACCCTCATGAAACTTACATTTTGTGTGAGAAATAGACAATGATCAAGATCAATATCTTTACACACAGATTAAGAATGGTCAGGGGAAAAAGTGAAGTCATTTCTGCAAAAATGAGCCTCTTCATATCTCCCTTCAAAAGACAACTGTGAAATCAAGGACTTTACACTACACAATCAAAAAACTGTGTTGGGAGAAAGATATACCCTTCCCTTAAAAAATCCACACCTGAAAAAAAAAATCCACACCTGAATTATTTTAAGATTTTTGTTTATTATATAAAAATTTTTATCTTTTCCTTTTGTTTTGTTCATTACAAGATGGGTTCATTATAATGAATATTGTTCATTGTTAGAACTAGCACCTAACTGGGATGATAACCTACGTTTTGTGATTGTTAACCAAGTGAAAGATAAAATAATTTCCCTAATTTTTAGTTTCATTTTTGGAATTAAAGATCCAACCTCTTTTACTTTGTTTATGACGCCAATTTGTCTTCGTTTTAAGGTCTTAACTCTACTCTAGGTGACCCGGTTTTCTGCCACCAACCACTCAGCAGGTTTGTGGTCAAGAGGAGGAACAACAGGAGTGGCCGACGACCACAATCTACCCAGCAAACCGTACTTGCACAAAAAATTGAGTCTAGGTCAATAAAAGCAACCAGGATGCAGAACTGACAAAACCTTAAAAATAAAGGGCCACAGAATAAACGGGAAGCACAAGACAACCAGGCCAAAAAAGAAGATATAAGAGAGAGTGGCTGATCAGCTGGAAGCAGTTGATAAGTACAACTGATACAAGATAGCTTGAGAGATTCCGTCACAGAGGGAACGTCAGAAACTATAACAAATTAAGGATGATTGTGCTCAAGAATGTGGGTATGGCCTTGTAAACAGTTATACTAATCCTCTGAGTTTGACTTTTACTTGTTTTGACATCCTTGCATTAGTGGCTTTGTAATGCAGAAACATTGCACTATGCTATTCCAGCTTGTTTAGTGGCTGTTTGAATCTCATGTTTCTAATTTAATTTTTGATAGGAAACCAGTCTGCATGGCTAAGAATATATACATACAATAAGGCATCCAGACTCGGAAATGTTGCCTTTGGGAGGGACTGGGTGAAAGGCACATTGGCCCTTTCTGCATTATTGTTTTATTCCTATATGTAAATCCACAGTTATCTCAAAATAAAAAAACTAATTTTAAAAAGTATAGCATACGGCCCTATACCCTCTTGTCCATCTGCTAAAGCCCTGTTGACCATGAGCTCCTTCCTCGATCATAGGCAAACCACTTTTATTCATTTCCTTACAAGCAAAGACAGGAATACACTATTACTCCCTGTACCTTTCACCTCCACGTCATTCCCCCCACTAACGGTAGGTAGCATGTTTTGTTCTGCATCTTGCTCTTTTCCATTTAACAACATATTGGAGAATTTTCCATACTGATGTGTTAATTTTAAAAGTATTCTATGTATAGAGAGCTTTCCTTTGACCTATTCTTTGGATTAACCACATTTATTTAGCCAGTCCTCTTTGATGGAAATCTGCATTGCTTCCAGCCTTTTGTTATTAAAAGCAATGCTATAAGTAACCTTGCAGGTATATTTTTGTCATTTTGATAGATGCCAAAGTCCCTCCACAGAGACTGAATCTATTTACATTCCCACCAGGAACATATGAAAGCCTGTTTCCCCAATAGTCCCACCATAAAGTGTGTTATCAAACATTTACGTTCCTGCCAATCCATCAGTGAGGTTTTTTAAAAGATTTTATTTATTTATTCAAGAGAGACACAGAGAGAAAGGGAGAGGGAGAAGCAGGCTCTCCGTGGGGAGCCCGATGTGGTACTCGATCCCAGGACTCCGGGATCATGACTGAGCCAAAGGCAGACGCCCAACCACTGAGCCACCCAGGGGTCCCAGCATCAATGAGTTTTAATTTGAATTTTCATTTCATTCATGAAGTTGAGCATCTTTCTACGTCTAAGAGCTCTTTGCCCATTTCTCCAATGTGCTACAGAGCAACAACGTTATAAGATAATGTGATGAGGAAGCAGAATTTGAATGTTACATTGGAAAGACGTCCTCCCAGGATTAGTTATTTAAAATGCAATGACTCAAATAAATAAATAAATAAATAAATAAATAAATAAATAAATAAAAAAAAATGACTCTTAATGGAAGTGTTCAACATTGTTGGGGTGCCTGGGTGGCTCAGTAGGCTAAGAGGCTCTTACTTTTGGCTCAAGTCACAGTCTCAGGGTCATAGGACTGAGCACCTCAGAGGGCTTTCCACTCAGCAGGGAGCTCCACTCTCTCCCGCTGTCCCTCCCTGCCCCTTGCACGCGTGAGCACTTGCTCTTTCTCAAATAAATCTTTAAAAAATAAAGTTTTCAACGTTATTAAAAAAATAAATTAAGTGTTTAAAATTAAGAAATGTCAGAATATCAGATTGGTTGAACAATGTCATCATATAAAAAGGGGAGCATCCTGAACACATTACAGTCACAGATCAATGACCAATGATCTTATGAAGTCCTCCCTAAAGGAATAGCGACCCAGGGGGAAGAAAATATTAAAGATGAATGCCCAAGAAATATAAAATCAACCAATATTGAAAGCCCTCATGAGGGACACCTGTGGGGCTCAGCGGTTGAGTGTCTGCCTTCGGCTCAGGGCATGATCCTGGAGTCCCAGGATTGAGTCCCACATCAGGCTCCCCACAAGGAGCCTGCTTCTCCCTCTGCCTGTGTCTCCGCCTCTCTGTATCTTTCATGAATAAATAAATAAAATCTTAAAAGGAAAAAAAAAAAGAAAGAAAGCCCTCATGAATCTTATATTCTAGTGGAGGAAGACATAATCTGAGGAAATCATATAGTTTCTTAGAAGACGACAGAGCCATGGTAAATGGACTAGATATGGGGCACCAGGGGGGTGAGCATGCACTTTAGCAGGGCAGTAGGGTCCCCAGGGTTTGGAGGGGGTGTAAGGGAGGAAGCCGGCTGCCACCGGGAGGAAGAGCTCTCTGGCAGAGATCAGGAGGCAGTGGGCACCCAACAGCTCCCGACACAGGGAGGAGGCCAGTGCTCTGGGAGGGAGGAGGGCATGAGGTCGGGGGCACTGGGACACACCGTTGGTGGAGATGAGTTATAGGAGGACAAGCTCAACCCTCCTGCCAGCAAGACTCCCATCACTCCCCATCCAAGTCCTGTCTTTGCCGCAATGCCTGGGTTGGGCAGGAGGTGCAGACAGTACCTAATGCTCCAGCTGGACCAGGGGTCATGGTGGGGGGGTAGGGAGTTTGGAGGTGGTGGGAGGGGTGGGGGGCTGGGAGAGGTGGGGGGGCTAGGGGGTAGGGGGGGCTGGGGTGCCCATGCCCTAAGAGCCCCCACCATGGGGGTGGGGGCAAGCAGAACATGTGTCCACTGTTTGCAGGCTGCTGGCCCCTGGCATCCAGGTGACAACTCTGGCCTTTCTCTCCTAGAATCCCTGCTTTTCCAAAGGCCGCCTCGCCTTGTGAAGTTTAACACCAATTCTTAGGACAGCCTGTGACGTGAGCATCTCCCCAGAGGGTTGTCTTGTCAGGTTCACATCTCCATTTCTGAATGTCTTCCGTTTTAGAACCACCTTGGGGTGCTCTTCATCACAACTGGTGGGACATCTCCACAAAGACTCGAGCCCTGCTTCTGACCCTCTCGACCCCCTCCCCTGCCAATGACTATCAGATACTAGCTGATCCTGACCTGGAGATCTGAGACAGACACAGCTACCATCTTCTCAATAAAAAGCATCGTAGGGAGAGAGAGAGTCCTCCGGTTTCCAGGAGCTGAAGAGGATCTGTCAGCTTCAGAATCAAGAGGAGAGGCAACGCCAGGCGGGACTGAGATGAGTCTCTGAGAAAGCAAGTCTGGGTTTCTGCAAGGAAGTCTCCTGGGCGCGTGGACACCCCCGGGAGGGGGCCAAACCGCCACCCTGACCTGCTGCGCATTGCTCTCTTCCTTGCCTCACAGTCTAGTCTCCCGTTGCCTCAGCTCCCCTTCCCCTTCCTCGCCCACAAACACTACAGAGCCCTGCTCACAGCGCAGCGGCTTGGCTGCACCCCTGAGGAAGCCCTACGGGCTCTATAGTCACCAGATGCTATCAAACCCTGGTTGTCACCTACTTTCTCGTCTCAGCAACCAGCGCAGGTCGCAGGGCTTGGAGTCGCCTTACGGCTGGAGGGCGCCAGCGCTTCAGGGATGTCCACTGCACCCCCCACCCCACCCCACCCCACCACGGAGCTGGGAGCCGACTGAAGGGGACCGGGCCGCCTGGGCCCTGATGAAGTGACCCTCAGGGACGGCAGAAGCTGAAACTCATGAAAAAAGAAGCGGTATGAGGACGACGCAAGAGCTGTCAGGAAGCTGCCGCCCATGTGAGGGCTCTGACTTGGGGGGCGCGGTCCCCCGAGGGATCTCGGCCACTCCAAGCAGGAGCGCCCCGAGCCGGGCGCCCAAAGACCTGGGGTGACACAGCGCTCCCTGGAAGCCTGGGACGGAGGTGGGTGTGAACTCGGCTTCCCCGACCCTGCTGATGACATCGGAGTCACACCGGTGCGAGCTCCACATCTGCTGATAGTTTCTTGGCACGAAAAAGAAGCCGGCGTCGTCAGGGGGTGTTGGCAGCGCAAGTGGGAGGCGCGCGCCGCCCCAGCGCACCCCTGCCTCTGCGGCCCACGAGGGGCGCGCGGCCGCCGTCGGGCCCACTCCCGAGCCCAGCCCGCCCGGGGAGCGCCTCCGTCCGAGGTCCCAGTCGGCCCGAGCCCCTCCGGACGCGACGCGCCGGTTCGGGGCTGGCGCTCCGGGTCAAGTCAGGACCGCGGGGCTCTGCGCCTCCGCCTCCGCCTCCGCCTCCGCCTCCGCCTCCCGAGCCGAGCCGAGCCGAGCCGTCGCGGCCGCCCCTGCTCTCCCCGCCGGGCCCGCCTCACCTGATGTACGGCAGGAAGGGGTTCACGTGCCCCGACAGCACCGCGACCACGTAGGAGATGATGAAGGCGGCGGACGACCAGGTCACCAGGAGGAAGGGCACGAAGGCCATTCCCCTCAGGAAGCACAGCATCGCGCGGCCGCCAGGAGGGCGCGGGGCCGGGGGCGGGGATGGAGCGCGCGGGGGGCGCGGGGGGCGCGGGGGGCGCGGGGCCGGGGCGTTCCGGGGAGCCGGGCCGGGGGACCGGGGCGGGGCCGCGGGAGCCGCGCACGGGCTGGCCCGCCGACGGCGGCGGGACGCGAGGCGGCGGGACGCGAGGCTCCGCGAGGCTCCGCGAGGCTCCGGGACGGCGGGGAGGCCCGGCCCCGGGGGGAAGCGCCGAGAGCCCAGCGGGCGCGGAGGCGGGCGGCCGGGGTGGGTGGGGCGCGGGCGGCCCCGGCTTGTTGCGAAACCCGTGAAGTCACAAAGCGGCGGCCCCGCGGGCTCGGAGGCGCGCGGCGACCTCCCCGCGGACGCGACGTGGGGGCGGCGGGGACGCGGGCCCGGCTCCTTTCGCTTTTGGTTCGGACTCGGCCGGGGTCGGCGCCGGTGGGGGGAGGGGTGCCCGACGGGTGTGCCCGACGGGTGTGCCCGAGGGTGTGCCCGAGGGGTCGCGCGGCGCGGTGTGCCCGCGGTGTGCCCGACGCGGTGTGCCCGAGGGGTGTGCCCGACGGGGTGTGCCGGAGGGGATGTGATCATCAAAGCCGCCCCGGCCCTTGCGCAACCCTGGAGAAACTGAAGGCTCCTAGGCTCGGCTCCTCCAGGGCCTCCTCCCCTGGGGCTCTCGGGTTCCGGCCTCCAGCCCCGGGGCCTTCCCTTCCGCGGTCCCACCGCTGCCCGTCGCGGGTGGAGAGTGCGGCCGCCGCTTGGTGACATCCACGGCTGCCGGGGTGCGGACACGGGTGTAGGCTGACGTTCGCCAACCCAGGGGGGCGCCGAAGGCTCACCCACCCACCAGTGTGGCACGCACAGGGACCCCGCCCGGGGCGTGCAGGAGCCAGGCAGAAGGGGTGGTGCTGAGCGCCCGCGGGGGCCGGGGCCCGTCATAGAGCAGGGTGGCAGCAGCCCCTAGACAGGAGCTGCCCTTGGGCCTCACGGCGCCGGGCCGCCCGCGACGGCAGGGGAATGACCCCAACCTCACGCACCTCGAACGCCCCGCACAAAGGGCTTCCTGTTCCGGAGGCGCTTGTGAACCCAGTGAATCGGAGGGTGGTTTACAGGTCGGAGCCCTCTGCCTGCCCAGGGTATGCTTCCGCGGAGGTCACTGGGTCACCGGGGACCAAACGTGCGTTCTTTCCAGTCACATAGACATTTCTTGGGTGCACACCCCGCAAGCAGCCGGGGTGCAAACACTAAAGAGCGCCATGGGGCCTAAAAAACTGACATGTCAGAATTCAATTCAATTATATGGAATATTAGATAGAAGATGAATAAAAGAATTGGCAGGCAGGGACCAGTGCTCAGAAAAAGGGTCAGGGAAGTTTTCCTGCCAGACGATAGTAGAGTTTTGGAAAGTAGGTGATCCCTACCCAGGCAGAGAAAGGGGACACTGGCTTCCCGAGCAAGGATGAAGCAAGAGAAAATGCACAGACCCGTGGACTTGCTTGTGTTTCTGGAACTAGAAAAAGCACTCAAGTGTAAGGCCGAGAAAATAGAGGTGGGCAAAGAGGCCATCCCACAGCAGTCCTGGTCATTATTTTTTACTTGTTTGCTTTTTGGTAGTGAGGAAATTATAGGAATATGGACACATATATATTTCAAACAGATCGTTGTGGCTGTAGTGGGAGTGACTAACACTGAATAATGCAGAGGCTTTATATTAAAGCTTTTAAAAAATCAGGGGCCCTTGGGTGGCTCAGTCAGTTAAGCACCTGACTTTGGCGCAAGTCATGGTGTCAGGGTCCTGAGATGCCGCCCTGCATCGGGCACCCTGCTCAGTAAGGAGGTTGCTTCTCCCTCTTCCTCTGCCTGCTGCTCCGCCTGCTTGTTCTCTCTCTGTCAAATAAATAAAATCTTAAAAAAAAAAATTTCAGAAGAGCTCATTCATGGTGGTCCACCTTACATCTGAACCTTGGTTTCTGAGTTCTGAAAACTACTCCTTTGCCTAGTCTTCCTTCTCTTTCCCTATGCCCTCCTTTTTTTTCCTCCTCTACTAATGATTCATCTGATTAAAAAAAAAAAAACGCTCTGAGGCAGAGAAATTATAACATCAAATGGAACTCACCTGATCACCTTATCCTTTTAAGTTGCTTATGTAATTCTCCTAAGAAACTCAACTGGCTAATAACTGTCAACACAAACATAGTAAGAGTTGTCTGACTATCATGGAAAATAGGTATTTCATTGTTTAAAATAAGTGTGTATGCATGTATATATTTAAAATAGATATATAACTATAACTAACTACATAAACTACATATGGGGCCATAGTGTTGGTTTTCCCCTCTAAAAGCCTTCCATAGCATAGGTCACCTAATACCCTCTCCTTGAAATAGTCAAGTTTTCGGTGGTAAGAAATGCGAAAATCCTGGAAAACAACCTTATATCAAAATATGCCTCTTTGACATAGAAGTATGTTGAGCTGAAGGTAATAAAGCAACAATTAAGAGCAGGAAAAGTTCTCTACCCTCCTCCTTTGTGTCTAAAGGAAGGCTATAAATTCCCTTTGCTGCAGACAGCTCTAAACTCAGCTCAGAGATAGCATCGGAGGAATCGCAAACAAACTTTGCTCTGTTGGTTCCCCCATGTATTCACCTTTCCTTGGAAGCCTAAGACCCTCTCCCTCTGTCCTGTCATTACAAGTCAATCGTTCCCTTGTTAAGATACAGTAGGGTTCTAACTTTCACTTGGAGTTACTCATCCCCGAGTTTCTCCCACGTATACAGTTGACCCTGGAGTAACACAGCTTTGAGTTACAGATGTCAGTTTATATGCTGATTTTTACTTTGATAAATAGAGTATGGTGCTTTCTCTTGGGATTTTCCTGACAGTTTCTTTTTTCTAGTTTACTTTCTTGTAAAGAATACAGCACAGGATACCTTATACATCCAAAATATGTGTTCATTGACTGTGTCTGTGTAATTGGTAAGGCTTCCAGTCGATGGTAGGCTGTTAGTAGTTAAGTTTTTGGACAGTCAAAAGTTATATGTGGATTTTCTTTTTTTTTTTAAGATTTTATTTATTTTGAGAGAGAGCGAGCACACGTGTTCATGCACAAGTGAGGGGGAAGGGGAAAGGGAGAGGGAGAGGCAGACTCCCCACTGAAGGGGGAACCCAATGCTGGGCTCCATCTCAGGACCACAGGATCCCAACCTGAACCAAAGGCAGGGCCTTAACCTACTAAGCCGCCCAGGCACCCCTCTACATGGATTTTCAACTGCATCGGGTTTAGCACCTCAACCCCCATGTTGTTCAAGGGTCAATTGTGTATGAGATATGCCTATGAATAAAATTTGAGTTTTTCCCTTAATAATCTGTCTTTTGTTATAGAGACCTAGCCAAGAACCTAGAGGAGTAGAAAAAATATTTTCCTCCTCTGCACTGAGTATCTTTTAGGATTTTTAATAAAAGTTGTACTTTCCCCTTGAATTAACTCCTGATTTTCTCTCTGTCAAAGTCATGCTGACTCAAAGTAAGGGTCTGGTTGGGACTGTCCTTTTGAAGATGAAGGCATTCTTCCTTGATGACCACCATTTATTTAAAGGCAGCATGCTTCCTGATCTAAATAACATTCATGCCAGTGCTTGAGTATCTCCTTTTTACGGCCTAGGGAATAAGGTTCAACATCATGCAGCTAGTGAATGGGGATGCAGAATTTGAATCCAGGTCTGTGTGGCTCAGATGCCTGTAACCCTAAGCATTGTGAGGAGCTGTCTTGCTCTTCAAATTCCAAAACTCCAGAATTTCAGAAGGAAACTCCTTGAAATATATGCAGTTATCTTTTATTTTTATGTATGTATTTATGATTACATTAGACATAAAAAAATTGCAAAAAAGTACACAATATTATCTAATAATAAAAAATTGCAATAAAAGTACACAATGGAGAAGCATCTATGATTCTCTGGCAAGTCAGCTTTCTCAATTTCCTAATTTCTATTTGGTTCTTACTCATAGAAATATTCAAAATAAAATTGCAATTACAATTTTGTAGCTTTATTATTCTTTTTTTAAAGACTGTTTTATATATTTGAGAAAGCATGAGCAGGGGACAGGCAGAGGGACAAGCAGAGCTTGGAGCCTGACTTGGAGCTCTATCCCAGGACCCCGAAATCATGACCTGAACTGAAATCAAAAGTCAGTTAACCCACTGAGCCACCCAGGCGCCCTGCTTTAATTATTTTTATTTATGTATTAAATATCTACTCCATGTTATGATCTTTGAGCTACTGCTTTTCATTACTCTATATTTGTCCATTGAAATAATGAACTACGATTTACTTCACTGTGCCCAGTGCTAATATTTATGTTAATCCAGGTCTTTCCCTATTTTAAGGAACATCTCAGTTGTTCTTGTGTTTTCTTTTTTCCTTTAGGTAAATTTCCATGAGTAGGATTGTGTGCCAAAGGGCAACGTGAACATTTTAAAATCTGTCAACATCCTAAATTATTTGAAAGCATTGTATCAATTTCATTGCTTCTAATAACCTGAGTGTTTCAGTTTCATTATATATCACCTCTATGTCTGCATGCTTTTTTTAAAAAGATATTTATATATTTATTTAAAGTAATCTCAGTTGAATAGATACTCAACTGAGAGTTGTGGGGCTTGAACTCATAACCCCAATATCAAGAGTCGTGTGCTCTACTCACTGAGCCAGCTGGATGTATTTTTAATGTTCTATTATAGCTATGAAAATACTGCTTGAGATTTTAGCATACTTCCTTTTAAAGTTATTGATCCCTTAGTTTCATTGTTATGATATAGACCACGAGCTACCCAGTGCAGCACCCATTTTTTTTCCTTTCTCCTTAGTAATAAATCCTCACTTTAGAATGGACATATTTTGCCCCACACAGAAGGGTTAGATTCCTCAGCTTCCCTTGCAGCTAGGGATGGCCATGTGACTTGGCTCTGTCCTAGGGCATGTAATAAGTGTTATGTGATATAAGGATGTTGCTTAAAGGAAGC